AAAACTAACAACAACAACAAAATAAAAAAATAGGTACTCCTGTTTAAAGTTAAAAATCATTAGAGCTCAAAGTGGCCCTCAAAACTGACTATGTAGCTGCTTAGTATGAGGTTATAGTTGCATTTAAATTTTTTCACAAGAAATTATTCAAATTAACACACAAGGAGAAATATTTATATGTATTTTACTGTGGTAAGTTTCTTTGGTAAACAGGGAAAACAAAAGAAAGAGGGTAAAGTCGAACTTTTTAGAGCAAGTGGAAGCTGTATAAGTTTTGCCTTCTGTGTGAATAAAACACGTCAAGGGCAATGGTGGTAAGTGGGGGTTAGTTTTGTTTTCCTGAGAGCATTTCGTTTGCTGTCTTTATTGTTTTGGGGTTTTCTTTGTTGGTTGTGAAGAAATGCATCCTTTGAAAAAGACCTTGGATGATGCACAAAGACAAATGGCGAGAACAAGATGAATAACATGAAAACGGCGATGGCTGATCCTTAAGCACTGCCACGTTATCGCTTACGAAGAGCACAGTAAACGACGCTGAGGCTGATGCCGCCCTGTCCAAGCCAAGAAACCATAACCATGGCAACAGAGGCACCACAAGTGCAAAAAAAGGCGGGAAGAAGCTTCTGATTAAAAGCACACTCACACGCGCGCTCACACATGCATGCACACTTTAACTGTGCGCGTTGTGGGTGGACTCCTCAAAGAGCAGATCTGATGCTATGTACTGTATAATGTAAATTAAACGAAGGGCTGGTTTCCTCATTTTTCCATGGTGTTTGATCAGTGGTGTGTGTTTCACTGCAGTGCAGCTGCACTACCCCTACAGGAAGTACACAGTCTCATCTGCAGAGACGCACACTGTAAATATACAAAGTTACACAAACAGTTGGATCTTCTAAACCAAAGACAGTCAAAGACACACTAAGTTTTCTGTGTATGTGTGTATGTGTGTGTGTCTGTGTCCCTGCACATTCATGTCACCTCTCTAAGCACACCAGATCTGCCAGGCGGACATCATGCAGGGTTTGGAATTAATGTCTTCTTGCTGACATTCTCTCTCATGATATCTTCCACCAAAACATCCCTTCAACTCCCACTTGTTTCCAGGAGTCCTCCTCAGCTTCTTGATGTTTTCTTTCCTATTGTGCTCTCATCTTTCTTCTCCATCCATTGGGTATTTTGTGCTCTTATTATATACCACCTATGCTTTTCTGCTTAACCGACTTCTTTCTCTCTTAACGCCTGCTCCTCATTTTTCTCAGTTTGGCTTTTCTTCATATAAATCCTAATCCTATTTCAAAGCTAGACTAAAATTAATGAAAAGTAGCCTTTGGAAACAAAACCTAATGTGACAGACAGGAGAATGTACACATGCACTAATTGCAAATTCCTGTCTTACTTAATTAACAGCAGCCATATGCAGACATGTATTTTGTTATGTTCCTGATTTGTAAAATGTATCCTCTGCAAAAGGATTTCTTTTTCACAAACTGTTTCTGCCACTTGACATGTCACACTAATGAGCAGCATTTTGCATTTTAGCTGCTTTATGTCTCTGCCAGAGATGTGTGCTAATGTTACCAGTTGTGCGAAGGAAAAAAGATTTACAGACGGAAGATAGGGCGAATCCACAGTCTTAGCGAAAACAAGACAGAACAGATGAGACAAATCAGGAAAACATTTCTGATATTTAGACTGAACTGAAGCTGTGCTATGTAACAGGAATATACAATGTGGCTATACAATAAAGTTAAGATTATGCTCAGTTTGATATACTGGCTGAAATGAATGGCGGACTGACGTTGCGTCTCAGACATTTATTCCTTCCTCTAAATGTCACCTGCAGAAATCTTTCTACTTGAATCTTAACAGATATTTTATCTGCTTGTAACTAAACGCAGACAGTCGGTGCTTTGTTGAGCAAGTCAGCCTTCTAAATGATCACACTGCAGCAGAAAGCAGAGTTTGCAACAATCAGATCAAGTGGGAAAGAATAACTGTGACTTGTGTTCGAAACTATAATAGTGTTCAAACAGCCAGAGTTTGGATTAAAGATGGATTTATTTTGTGCTGTGAAATTTGCAGGGTGGGAATTTATCTAATGCATGTCTGTTATAATTAAGCCTTGATAAATTAACACAGTGCTTATTGACCTGGTTAGAGCCAGGCAAGTTTTTTTCTGTACAAGAAGCATAATCATAAAAGGCAAAAACATATATGATCTAAATGTGACCAATCACTTCTTCAAGGCAACCTTCCTATGCAATTCTGGACTGCTTATAGTGCTGCTGCTATTTTCAGACTGCTCTCTAGGGTCTGGTTTTGAAAAGCTCTAATTTAACAGTCCTATCCTGAACCAGGCATGTGGTCTGAATACAGTTAAAGCCACGTGAGGGTAGGTTTGAGGCACAGCCTGCAAGAGTACCACTTCTACTAATGTTAATGTACACCAGTACTTTAGGAGTGTGAGCGAGATAAAAGACAAAACAACGTTACCAAACATGGCACCCCAATTGACGCAGCTCAAGGCTCACATTTCCCAAAAGAGGGCACTGTAGAAAAGAAGGAATATGGGAATGTGGAGGCATTTTGGCTGTTTAATGTCCAGCGTTGAAAAAGACTATCATACACAGCAAACTGTGTCACTCCACAAATTGTTCTTACCATCTGAACCAGTGCCATCCTCTAGCGCTCGTGCAATGCAGGACTTGACAGTGCCAGACACTCTCTCCCATGCCTTGCCTTACCATGAAAGCAACAGCTCAACTTATTGCACAAGTCACGATGCCAGCAAGCAACAATCAAATCAAACAAATCAATTTAAGCGGGTGATTAAAGTAAATGACCCTCGTTACCAACTCCCTGGGTATTTTGTGATCAGGTATATTCCCCCATACCTACTGTAATCTTAAATCATGCCTTAAATCCTTTCTAAATCTGACTACATGCTTTGTCTCCTCCGCCTTCCTAGGTGACAGTTATTAACCCTCTCACTGTAGCTCTCTGTGCCTGAGCTGACTTTTACCAGGCCATGTCAGGCTTCACACTAACTTCCCTGAGGCTGCTGCCATGACTAATTTTGGACCTTCTGAGGCATAATGATACCTTTATCTTGCTTGGCACACTGCCGACATTTAAAAATTCATAAACATGCATATATACAAGTATATCAGCATTTGTACAGGAGTGCAAGGCAAGCTCACACTATCGCCAACACACAGACAGACACATGTGCAAAAAGCTCACACCTAATCTGTTCCTTCCCCACCATCTTTCCATTTCAGGGCTGTCAAGCAAAGTGTCACAGGGTGAGCTTTAGTGCCACCCCTCCCAGTAGTCCCCTACCATTGACTATTTCCAGAGCCACTCAAGTGGAAAAAAGCACAAAATGCAAGGAGGAAAAAAAGAAAGCGAGAACAGGCGATGTTGATGGCCTCAAAAACTCCTCCAAAACTCCAAAACAGAAGCAGGGAGTGTCTTCTCGCATGACATACACACTCTGAATTGTCACGAGTGTGTTATCAGACTCCTTGGAGATGCTCTGTGTGTGTGCGGGCTACAGTTCTCTGTAAGTTGGCTGCAACTACCTGGCAGATGTAACCTGAGGCTTTCACACAAACAAATACACACAGAGAAAGACAGAAGAGTTGGCTGCATTTTCATCATCTCTCTGCTGTGGAATCAGAGCCCTGAGTCACAGAAAGGCCCTGCTGCCAGGACAGTAGATTTTTTTTTCTTGCACAGAAGGCAGAAACAATGCAATACACTGAGCAGACGGTTGGGGAGGCCACTGAGAGCAGTGAGGGGGCGTGCAGTCTGTCCTACATACACACCAGCACATGCAGATACACACAGATACACAGCAGGAGTGTACAAGGAGAGTTTGGAGAGGGCAAAGAAGTACCGTGGGTTGTAGATCCTTGTATTGCATACTGTGTCCTTGTAATGGACAGATAACACTACTAAACAGACAGATAAGATAGCAGTTAACCAGATTAGGCGTACAGGCTGACAAGACTTAGAGTTCTGTCTTAACTGTATGGATGATTTCTTTTCATACACCCAATTACATGTTTCTCTGTCACGATGTCCTTTTCTCATCCAAATCAAAGGTTTAGTGAGTCAGTAAAACAAACATTCAAAAGTTTGGCTAACTCGCTGACACATAATGAGAGGATTAGGATCGTAAAGTCCAGCTTTTGAGCCCAATCAAAGAAAAGTTTAATGAGCTCTGCAAATTTATATTAGAAATAAATATCTCAGAGACTTATCAAATCTCAATCAAAATCATTTCAGTCTCTCTAAAATGGCTGAGAGGGTGAAAGCGAGCTTCGGAGATCTCAGATGTGATTTCTGTTGTACTTCTCATCCTTTCAAGCTCCTCTTGAATGAGCCATTGGGGTAATTACGAGCAGATGAAATGAAAGTAAGTGGGCTGGTGGTGAAGGTCTGCCAAGCATTCACATCGTGAGCGCGGCTACAGAATTAGAGGGAAATGGACACACTGACAAAGAAAATGTCAGCACGACCGAGAAGAGCTAATGAGAAATGTAAAGAGATGTGGTTTTTTAATCTCCTTGAAGATAGCTGCGGAGGGTTACTGCTCACAACACGCAATATTTCACAAATTGGCCACATCTAAATGACTATAGCTATTATCCATATTATATTGTCCTTAATTGGCACAGCTAGCCATTATCAGCTACTGCTAAGAAACAAAAGATATAAAACTCGGATATAACTTCTGGGTCAGAAAAGTGAGGCAAGAGTGGTCTGTGTATCAGAGAACCTAAATCTTGTGATTTAATTGTTTATAATTAATCTAATGCACACTGTAGAATCATACACGTAAGAGAAAATTTGTAGAAACTTCAGCTTCTGGGAAGATTTCCGAGACACTGGTTTAATGGCTATGTGTGCAGATGGTTATCAGAAAGTTCTGTATTACATGCACTCTAGGTCAGACGATGGGGACTGCCCACAGTTTAATGAGGACTCACCCCAGACCGCAGTTTGAAGCAGAAGGAGGGCCAGCAGGAGCTGCGGTCCACAAACAGGCAGTAAGCCCTGCATCCTGCTGCACCTGGAGACAGAGATGAAGAGAGAGGGAGGAAATGTGAGTACACAAAGGAAACTGTAATCAACACATTGCCCTTGTGAAGTTCTTCTAATACACAAGACATGCTTGGATGAGTCATCATTAATAATTCCTTTTCAAGGGATTTTTTCCCCCCCCTGTTGCTCAGTGAAGGCCTTAGGACACACATACAGTTCATTCTTCAGTTTAATTTGCTGTTTCGTAATGTGGGTGGGATAAAGTCTTCTGAAGCCTTTTCAGACAATGGTGATTAAAGGCTTTTAAAGGCTATGTAATAAATACCTCGACTTGATGTGACCATTGTGCTTAATCCTTTTGAAGTACAATAAAGAAATAGACGATTATCTTTACACTTCACAAATAGCTATTGCTCAGAATTAAATGTACAGGCTGAGATTTACCTTTTATCTTTAAATCTATCCCAATATGTGCTTCTTTCTCAGAATATTTCATGGCATAAATTTTCACCTTATATCCAAGCTCTCAAAAACCATGCCATACCATCTTTGCGCACTAAGCCATCAACCAACTGGCAATAGCTGAGATGAAAATTCTGGTAAAAAATATTAACTATATAATGTGCCTAATGGCTTGCTTGATATAGCAAGCTGTTCAAAGGTTTAATGGAGGGGGGAAAAGCAAAAGAGACTTTTTGGGAAAAATGCTGAAGAAGAGGAAGAGATGCTGATGGATTTCAAGAATAAAAATAGATAGATAAGGATACTAGAGCCAAATCTAACATGATGGACCTCTGGGTTCGCTTGTTCCACACTGCCTGCTGAAAACTCTTCTGAATCAAAGCAGGATCGAGTCTGCCACATTCAACAAAAAAAGCTATGTATTTGAGAGGTAGGTTGACAGGAGGTGTCTATGGAATGTCTGTATAAGTTTATCTGGAAAACATTTTTTAAATAACTAGGGATATTTGTGACTTACACCGATGCTGGCTTAGCTTTCACTTTAAAATTCAAGGAGTATAGGAAATAAAACATGCTGATAATGACTACCCAATGCCAGTGTACATCACAGGACTGAATATTTTTTCTCTCTTCCCAAGATCTTTGCAACCTTTTGTATTTTTCATCGTAGTTGTCCGAGAGTTTACAGCAGCCAACAAGCAAACAAGAGATGGACGACCATACAAACAAGGCTCAAGTAGCACTATTATCTGAGCATTTATTTATGTATATGTGACTATAACATAATGTCTTTAAGTCACAAAAGCAAGGGGATGGAGACCAAATGAGGTAAGTCGGCCTCCTGCTGTTGGGTCCCGGGTGTAAATAATGAGTATGGCATCTCTGGAGACATGGCAGTGGGGCCTGAGGGCAGGAGAGGAGCTGGGTGGGAGGGATGGAGGAGGATTTAGTGGCTGGTCGCAGAGATGCAGGACATAGATAACCAGTGTCAGTTACGGCAGCGCTGGTCTCTCTGACTCAATCTCAACGTTACAGCCAAGGACAAAAACACTGACCTCATACCAAATACATATGCTCTGGAACAGCTCAATGTCCACGGTGGCAGCACACGTCAAAACAGCAAGTTTGCAAAAAGAACATTTTTGAAGCTGAACCTTTGTAAAATCCTGCTTGATAGCAAATGGTTAAGGCAAATAAATGCAGCTATTTTACAAAACTCTCTGAAAGTAATTATTAAAAGCCTGTAATGCAGCCTTAATTATGTGCAGGACAGGCATGACATCACAATACAAGTTGAATTTAACTGAACTAATCTGTTTTTTCTTCTTCTTTATTTTTTGTTTTTAGAAACGCTAGATCAGTATCAGGTATTTAATTTCAACTTTCATGAGAATATACACAGAAGACTCTGCAAGTCCAAACAGCATGTATTAAAAGTCTATCTTAATTGCTATTTTGGCTCGGTGCTGTATTTTCTAACATTCTGAACTTTTTTAATTAATTCTAAAATAAAAGCATATTGTTTTCAAAATTGCTTAAGTAATTACACAGTCACAGTTTAAGCTTCTGCCACAACAGGTCATCTGCCTCCATCTCACCCTATCTCTTGCATCCTCTTCATGTATACTGAGCCACATCTTCCTCCAGTGCATTCATGAATCTTCCTTTCCACCTCTGTTCCTTCTGTCTTGCAGCTCCATATTCATCATAGTTTGATATTGTGCTTTATTTTCCTTCGCTGGTTGCTAGGTTTGACTCTTTCTTATGTCTTTCCCTCCTCAGTTTATCAAAGCTGTTAATCATTAGCAGCTACTCATGTGCACTCTCCGGTCACAGTTTTGTTTACATGACCAACCAATTTCATCGCTTCCTTTTATTTTACCCAACCATCATCTCTACATTTAGTCTACTATCCATCGTTCCTTCACTTTTTTCATGGTGTTTGCTTTTCATTCCCTTTGCATTTAAAATTTAAGGCCTCCACAAAGCTATAGTAAATAAAAAGTACAACATTTTATCTTAGTATGCCCTTTTCTGCAAATTGTGTATTAAACTCTTCCAGGACAACGGTAATGCTTTGCATTGGTACATCACACCTTTCTATCAACCTCTGTGCCCTCCTCTCTCCTCTTCTCTCCTCTTTTGTGATGCAAGGTTATCTCTTGTATATCCACAATAGGACTATGGCTGTTACAAGGATTCTAGGACAATGTTGTATAAGTGAGAGCGGTTTTCTACATCTGTATTCTAAGTGCTTTCTACAAAGTATGTTCCAGACAACATGCTGAGACTGTCCTTTGAAAACATCAGCTCACTTGAGTCAGACCTGACATTAAACTCCCACATCGAGTCTAAATTCAGCAGCGTAAATTCTCCATCAGGAGTTTGGGGGATGCAAGAAAAATATTCTGATCCATGTGAATTTGGCTCCCTTCTTGGCTCCACATTTATATATTAAACTCGGGCAAATTCCAGTCAGAATCAGGGCTGTTTAATTACTAAATAGGTGCAGCAGAGTTCACTATGTATGGAGCCTGAATATTAGCTGGTCTGATAGTTAAATATTAAAGACGTTCTGCTCCACTCTTCATTTTTGAACTATAATCCTGCAACATAATATACCATTTAACTGGCTCTGCCTCACAAGAATCATACCATACATGTTGATGTAGATTTTTGATCAGCTTAGGTCTTTTATCTTGTACCAATTTTCTGATCCTACCAGTAGCACGTGCTTTTTATGTATCACCTGTGGATGGACTCTTCAGTATGCTTACCACTGACATCAGAGTAGGCAAACCATATAAGATCTGGTAGCAATATTTTTATTTAAGTCTACTTTTATTCTACTTCTACTTCTTTACTATTCGACTTCTTTTATTTAAGTCTCTATTTAAGTCACTGCTAACTGACTAGAAATGAGAATCAGTTAACTATCCTGTGCAGCTGACATTAAGCTCCATTGTGCAGTAAATTGTAAGGATGTGGCAACATATTGTCGAAACATTCATAAAGGAAGATATCCACTTTGTTGACACCAACTGAAAAATTAGATTACAATTGCTGTGTCACATCATTTTGTGCTGAGTACATGTTAAGAGATGCTGAGAAACTGAAAGACTAAAAGAGTTCAGCTACTTTTAATATTATTTTTTTCCCAGCAAGAAAGGAGAATAAATGACAACAAGTCAATGAAGCTTTATTTTTTGAACTATGTGACTTGAATATGTTATATGAGATCACAGACAGGAAGTAACAAATCTAGCATAAGAACCTACAAATACTACCTTTACCGCCCAGCCCCTCATCTATACAGCCTCAAAGCTGACGCTTCACTTATCTAGGTCCCCCCTAATATAAGTGTGAAGTGGATCGGGTGAATAGCTAATGAGATATGCAAAGAAAATAAAGGCAGAAAAACATACAGAGATTCCTTGATTTATTAATGCTATTAGAAAGTCTTCCAACCGAAGCTGACTAATCGCAACTGAAAGTCAGTATGATCTCTCCTGCTGTGTGGTAATATCAGCAGGAAAGATTCAGCCAGATCTCAGCATGTCAGAGATGTGCCCTGTTCCCCACCATGCCTGTCACAGATACTGTAGATAAGACAGACAGCTAGATGGTTACAGACAGACAGACAAAAATACAGAGACATCCTGAAAGATACAGAGCCAAGATGTCGCATTTTCCTTTCAGTTCTAAAGACCTTGGTCCAACCTCAGCCTTTCATGGATGATGACTTGCTCAATCCATCTGTCGTTCCATCTTAATCTCACCTTCTACCTTTTTCTGTCTATCTATATTTGGATAAAATTAGCTGCCAGTCTACGTCTGCCACCATCTTTACCCGTGGCTCAAAGAAGTCTTTTTTGGTGTGTGTTTTTCTCACACGCAAGTTTGATCTTGCTTCATTTATTTGCTTTTCTCAAATTGTCGCAACACTCTTTCCTCGCCATGCTGCATTATTAAGGAGGCACATTAATCACTCGGGCTGCCTGTCACTCCATCGCCACGCACTTCTGTTGTCCCCGCAGCACACATGCACACACATTCACGCACACATTAATGCTGGTTTCACAGGGGGAGTTAGTCCCATCAGTGTCTGTGTATAAGTCCCTTAGAGTGAAAAATGAGGCTACCCTTCGAGTGACAAAGGGCTGTTTTCCTTCCAGGAGGATATTACCAAGGTTTTAGCAAGCAACCTGTCACGCTGTGTCATACATAAATGGCTTTAGCACTTCACATTTTCTGCACAAAAGGGGACTGTTCTGTGTTTGCACCTGTCTTGAAGCATGTGTTATCCTTGGGTGGGTTTCTTTTGTTGCTGGCGAGCTACAGCATGAAACACCTAAATAAAAACAATGGCTGAGTGGGTGGCTATATTCCAGCTTATAAAACCTGTATGAGGCAAAACAGCAGGACCGTACGGCTGTTCAGACAAAAAAAAAAAGAATGAAAGAAAAAAGGAACATATACTGTGTGCTGGAAGAGAATAAGTTGTACAGCTGACAATTGAGATGACTCATTGATAACTCCTCAATTACCATCCAAATTGAGAGAGGA